CAAATTATAGCTTGCTCTCGCCACATTTTTGCCCGTGGACGCAGGTGCGGCACCCCTCGTGCATCCGAGACTTTGATTTGCAGACCTTGCCACGAGCATCCTTAGTCCCTTGGCACTTGCAGGAGGGGTGGCAAAAGCACTGGATGGAGGGTGTGGAACAAAGTAAAGGTGATCGACTTGTGCAATTTTAAATTTCCGACTGTCACATTTCTGTTTGTTTACAAACGAAACAAGACGTATTTGGAGGCAAGATCTCTGGCATGAGACGTTTCATGCAGGTTATGTTCACCAATTACTCCAGCCTACCAAGTCTGAGGGCACGTCCTTTGCCAACATCATTCGACATCTATCAGATGTAGGAAACTGGGAGAGGCTTCTCATCAACTTGACGTCGGCCGAATTTGTATTAAAAACATATGAGAAAAAGGGCCAGCATCGAGTACTGTACTGTACATGTTCTTCCTTGCATTGATGGCTGTTTAGATCCTCACAAAGTTACTATCTGGATCTATCTGGTTCATTTCATTGAAAATCCATGAATATCCCATGATTCACCACGATTCACCACTATTAAGCCATTATTAACCAGCCGCCGCCACGAAATCTCAACACTGAGGTCATTCCTTATCTCAATGAAACCTGGGCGCAAATCAGCGCCACAGTCAGCAGCTTGGGAAAATTTTCACCAGAGACGATGGGAAAATCATGGGAAAACCATGGGAAAATGAGATGATCATAGGGAAATCACCAGTTTTAATAGGTAAATCAACCATAACTAGAACTAAATGGCCATGTTCAATAGCTAGAGATGGTGACTATGGTGCTGGAGAATTCTTCATCTCTGATGACTTTCTGGATGATGAATATGCATCGAAGATATACTTGAAGATCAGGGTTTTCCATTGTTGATGTTGCTGCAGAGGGAGCGATCTCTTTTGGTTGTCCCGCAAGAGTAGCTGATTTCCACGGGTTCGCTGTGGCCTCGACAGGTTGCGTCTTTGGTTGCCCATAGTCCTTTGGAAGTTGTGGATGAGGCGCCACATCCAGCTGTGAGTCATGTGCCTTTCACCCAAGATGAGTACTTGAATATACTTGAATAAGTTAGCGCAAATCTGGAAGAACAAAAATCCACCGGGTGTTCCTTCTAGATCTTGTAAGCCCATTGGATGGGCGACAGTAGAACATCGAAAAACCTCCGTATTGGAAAAAGCACGTGACCGACATGCCAAAATGTCCGACACTCGACAACAACGTGTGTCAAAATCTCCATGATTCCCCAGGCTTCGTTTTATCTCTGTCAACTGGAATGAGAAATAATATATAAAATATTATAAAATAATATAAAATAACTCCATTCTTCTTGTATCAAGTTAGCATCCGTGGAATACCTTCTCTCTAATCAGCGAATAACATTCCATTCTGGTTTCATATCAGCTGTATTTATGCCCTGATGGACCAACTCAGCCAAAGAATTCTCGCACTTTCCGACATAAACAAGCTTTTGCTAGTGCCGCGTAACATGTTTTGCTTCCATTTTCTATTTGACATGTTTTTTTTATCTGACAAATGCCACGTTGCATCGCGGAAAGCCTTTCTTGTTGTTTTTACCAAGCACCATCTCCATTGCCACCTTAGCTCCTCAAATGCGTCCCCTACATGGAGCCTCAGATTCTCTTCATCGATGATGGCAACGCACCAGCCCCTTGGTATTGCAAGGGGAGAGGAAAAATTCTCTCCTACACTGCCGGTCTCATCCTGAATCTTAAATATGTTTTTTTCCCCACCTGCCAGGTGAGGGTTGTTAGATTTTATGTCAGTTGCCTCCTCCTCCTGCCGCCTCCTGCCGCCTCCTGCCTCGTCATGCCTCCTGCCTCCTCCTCGTCCTCCTTGTCATCCTTGTCGTCCTTGTCGTCCTCGTCGTCCTCGTCGTCCTCGTCGTCCTCGTCCAACTGCGACCCGCGATCCACAGTGTTCTCTGCCGGACCTCAACCACGACCATCCACGCCCAGTGTTCCCTGCCGGACCTCAACCACGACCAGCCACGCCCAGTGTTCCCTGCCGGACCTCAACCACGACCAGCCACGCCCAGTGTTCCCTGCCGGACCTCAACCACGACCAGCCACGCCCAGTGTTCCCTGCCGGTGTATTGCCCCTGCCGGACCTCATGTAGGAAGATATGGGACAAAGAATGTGCAGAAGAAAGTTAGAAAGAATGTCAGAAAGAATGTCAGAAGATATGCCAGAAGATATGCCAGATAGAATGCCAAATAGAATGCCAGATAGAATGCCAGAAGATATGTCAGAATATATGCCAGAAGATATGCCAGATAGAATGCCAGATAATATGCCAGAAGATATGCCAGATAGAATGCCAGATAGAATGCCAGAAGATTTGCCAGATAGAATGCCAGAAAATATGCCAGAAGATATGACAGATAGATATGTCAGAAGATATGCCAGAAGATATGCCAGAAGATATGCCAGAAGATATGTCAGAATATATGCCAGAAGATATGTCAGATAGAATGCCAGAAGATATGTCAGAATATATGCCAGAAGATATGCCAGATAGAATGCCAGATTGAATGCCAGAAGATATGTCAGATAGAGTGCCAGAAGATATGCCAGATAGAATGCCAGAAGATTTGCCAGATAGAATGCCAGAAGATATGCCAGAAGATATGCCAGATCATATGCCAGAAGATATGCCAGATAGAATGCCAAATAGAATGTCAGAAGATATGTCAGATAGAATGCCAGAAGATTTGCCAGTAAGAAAATGTATAAATGTCATGGTGGGGATCACACGAAGTAAAGTAATTTTTCTACACCATCTACATCTACACAATACACAACATATTCAGTAGTCATCGCACATTTGATATCAATGATCTACATGTTACACATTGGTATAATTTGGTATCATTTGATTTAATTTGATCATATGATGTGCTGCTTCAATTGCCATTTTTTTGAAACGGTTTTCATCGCTTCGTTTAGTCCTGAGCCTTTCGTGGCTCAAAACTCGGGACAGCGCCGGATGGGCCCAGGAATGGCAGCATCACCATGAACTTTTATCTTTGCATCCCAAGGTGAGGGCTGTCAGCAGCCGAAATACTTGCTTCCGGGGTGCAGTTCAGACGCAATCCCGTAGATTTATGATGATTTATGTTTATTTTTTTCTATAATATATAGAGTATTATAGAATTATTCATGTATATAATTAGGATGTCAATGTAGTTATGGCAGCTATACCCCACTCGAGCCAACAGAAATCAGCTTATAAACCAAGAACATTGTGGATCTTGCCGTGAGGGTTCATTTGATGGTTTCTGACTGATCAGGTTTTCATATGTTTTACGGATTTGTCAAAGATTGTCAGAGTGTAGGTTACAGCCCCACGGCTTCTGGTCAATTTGTAGTAATGCCAATGTTTGACAAACTGCTTTTGACCCATGCCCACATGAACAGTCACAGCGGATCATCAAGGCCAAGTCTACGATGTAGCTGCAATCATTCCTGAATCCAACCGTGCAGTATTTGCTCATTATTCACTGGGGGTTCTCAGAGTTTTTATGCGCATATTTCATAATTTGATATAATTTGTAGACTCTCAAGATCCCCCAAAGAATGGATGCTGAAATCCGAAACAATCTCTGGTTTTCCAGGCCCTCATTCCAGGCCCTCGCACCGCCTTTACGTCACCAGGTCAAGGTGCATCGCAATGAAGTGCGACAGGGACTCATCCGAGCCAAGGCGGTCGACAGGGACGCAGGGGGATGGGGGTTTTGAGGGAACTCTAAACCATGGCTTTTCAGGACCAAAATGGTTTGATTTGGGGGGTACCAGGGGGTACCACCATTTTTCACCAGTTTTTGAAGGTGAAATATCTTGAAGACTGAGCTGTAACTGAGTTGAGTGGCATTGGGTGTTTTCTTTTTGACAGGCAAGCCACTGTTTTTTGGTTCACCCGAAATGGTTGACAGTTGAAACACGCATGACTAGGTGATTTCGACGATCAAATGAACCACAGTGGAAATGTTGAACTTGTTCGGTTTGGCGAAAAAGATGTTCAATTGGATCATGCATCCGGAGGAACATCCTTTATACCAAAACTTGTTTTCTAGGGACTTTAAGGAAAACAACATGATGTTAGCCAACTGAATCAACAATCGCGTTGGTGAAGTTGTCCCCTTGGCTTCATCCCGTGATCCCAGCAGTCTGCCGAAAAAATCCAGACCTGCACTTGGTCAAGCTATGAGCATTTATTGTTGTACCATGTTGTACCTGCGCACCATATGTTGGTCTTATCAATCTTATTAGTAGACCACACATATATATATATAATATATATATAATATATATATATAATATATATAATATATATAATATATATAATATATATATATAATATATATATAATATATATATAATATATATATAATATATAATATATAATATATAATATATAATATATAATATAATATATATATATATTATATATTATATAATATATATATATATTATATATTATATAATATATATAAAAAATATATAAAATATATATAATATATATATATATATAATATATATATATATATATTATATATATATGATATGTTTAATTTGTTTAAAGATAAGTTGGTGGATAGGGTCAGCTGTTAGAGCCAGAGTTTAGATAGTATCAGATAGAATATTCGATACCCTCCAGAAATCAAACCGGCGGTCTAGATGATGTTCTATTCACACAATGCAGATTTTCTCCAGCCAGCCACATTTGTAATCAAAGGAGGGTCCCTGGGCCCTCCCCACCACGGTTTGCAGGTGATTGGGGCTGCTCTGATCGACAGTCCGGGCCTTTCTTGCGAAGCAGCACATTCTGAGCAATTGGAACTTCAATAAATTGCCCGTGGAGAAATCTGTGAACCTATGACTTCTAGCATCACCTTGTGTTCATGAACCTGGAAGAGGTACGGTTTGAGCCAGTCAGTCTTCTCAACCTCTGCTGATCCTTGCAGGTTCGGCTCGAATGGAAAGCTGAATTTGGGTGTTAGGTTCTTTGATGAATTACATCAAGGTGGCGTTGGTGTTTGAAGGCGACATGGGGTCGTCAGGAAGACAGAGTTCTAGCCCACGCAAGCAGTCTATGAAGATTTGAATACATGAAAATAGCAAGGCCGCAAGATGATGACAACGTTTAACATATTCAATCATCTCATTTGAAGTATGATGAACTTTAATTTAAAAACATATCGAACTCAAGATCTGGTTATCCAGAAATCATTCCAACAACCTCCGTTCGCACAACGGTCGCACTGCCGTTTTTTCAGCTTTGCTCAGTGGCCACCATGGCAAGTCCCAGCGCCCCGCTCAAGGGAGCCTCCGCAACCTTTGGAGCCTCGAGCACCAGCGAGGGTGCCGACAAATGGAAAAATCTTCTGCTTCTGACGAAGATCTACCGAAAGTTGCTGGTTGGATCTGGTTGGTGGTTTCATTTTGGATTATTTGACCATATTTGACCATTTGGTTTTATTTTCCTAGAAATGGGATGGTGATCCTTATTGACTCCATGAACGTTGCCGAATTTTACAATAGATTTAGATGTTCTTTTCCAGCTAAGGACAGAATGTTACAGATTTTCCATGCAGGAAATGGGAGGATTCTTAATGACTAGTCCTTTAAGAATGTTATGATATATTTTTGTGGGAGGGGGTTCAAACATGTTCAAACCACGAGGTTGGCATTTTGGAGACCGCGCTTCAAGTTCATGTCAGCCCGTGATTTGACACAGACCTTGTACGACAAGGATGTGGACAAGGGTGGAGGGGACATTTTCTTGGACATGAAGGAACTCGTGCTGAATGACCAAGATGCTCCAAACAAAGCGCCCGAAAGAAAGGTACGTATTGAAGTTTTTGATTCTGACTTTGCATGCTTTCTGGATTTTATGATGCTCATCAATGCGACTGGCTGGGGATTTCAGTGTTTTTTTTCATTTTCTTAGATCTCTTGTTTTTCCATCCGAAAATGGGATGATTCTCCACATTTCTATAATCCTTTCAGTTTTCTTTTATTTTTTTCCATCCAAAAATCGGATGATACCTAAATGGACCAGTCGATTTCCGATTTCTTGGGGTGTTTCGGTGGACCAGGTGAGCCTTACCATGGTGACCGCTCCTCTGACCTTTCTATGGGATGGTCGTTGGGGCGATGAATCCTCGGTTCCGGGCGGGCGAGATCTCTTGCTGCTGGACCTGTTTTTGGATCTCACCTATGTGCCGTGACTTTCGCTGGCGGACCATTTGGGATGTAGATCAAACCATTGAACACCGAAGAACCTATGTTGTTTCCGTATAAATAGGGGAGGCGATCATCCATAATTAGCGTATCATTAGCTAATCTGATGTGAATAGAAGGGTATCAGGGTGCTTGTCTGTTAACGGTCTTAGGATCTTTGGTTGTTGCGAACACGGCTCGGTTCACAGTGCTTCGTGCTGGTCTCTAACATTTTGTCCCTCAACAAAAATGTGGTTTTTGCTGCTGATCTTGCGCACATTCAATGCCTTAATTTTAGATTGTTCAAAGCTTCTTCCCACTGAATTGTCATGAATTATCCTTTGCCGGAAAACACGGTGCCTTCGTGAACCCCAATCCAACGGTCCAACGGTCCAACGGTCATTTTTTGTTGGCTCATGAAAAAATCCGCCGCCCATCCGAAGGCCGTCTACCTGCTGTTGATGCTGGAAATGTCCTACCTCCATCCCGAGCGGCGGACAGAGATCGTGACCCGCCGCAGGGTGATTCGCAGCCGGCTGCGGTCACCGCTCTACTGGCTGAAGTGGCTCAGCGTCAGCGCCTACTTCTGGGTCTTAGCCTTTGATGCTCCGCTGGTCATCAATCTTCTGAAGGTCAGGGGCAAAAAAAACTGATGGTTGATGGCATGTTAGTGGTTTATGCCTAGAGTTTGTAATGTGTTTTGTTCATGAAAACATACTGTATGACTTCCTTTGAATAGGAAGTATAGGAAGTATCCTGGTTTAACCCCTCTTGAACAAGTTTTTTTGGCGTTTGGCCCCGGTTCAGGTGATTCGTGGCGGTGTTTTTGTTGAGTTGCCAGACTCATTTTGGCGCTTACGGGATACCAGCGAAGTCCGATTGGCCAAGCCCATTCTGTTGCTGATGGGGATTGCCCACTGGGTGGCCTCCTGCCTATTTTCCTTAGGTGCCTGGATGGATTGTAGCCATACACCAGAAGATGTTCAACCATATGTTTATAATAAAAAATAAGTGATGGGTAAACTCCATATGTTCCCTGAAACAGTTTTCAAATGTTTAGCCGTTTTGAGTAATTACAGCGCATTGACAAATCATTGCATCGTATTTCTGTTTTGATCCGCAAATCCCAAATGGGCAAGCCACCTAAGGTGGATATTTGGAGTACATGCAGACCTACGGCGTTGAAGCGTCAGAGATGAGTTTCCGGGGACAGACGGTGGATGGCCGGGTCTCTTCCTATGTGGTTGCCTATGTCGAGGCGTTGTACATGCTGACAGGCGAGTGACCAAGATGATGGTGATTATATTATATGTTATTGATATAACCATCAAATAGGATCAAATAGGATCTTGTCCAGCAAAATGGGTGTATATATATAATTATATATATATATATAATGATATAACATATTTATAGATATCAGTTGAAATTAGCTAAATGATGATTGGTGGTGTTGATGAGTTATGATCTGTAGTCTATATAGTGGTCAAAAGAGGCTATACAACAGTATCCTACTAGCAGGTGTATTGGGGATTATTGCTGCAACCCTTAGATTGATGATGGGGGGTGTAACCATCTAAAAAAAACCACTGGAAATGGGGATACACTTGAGAAATGCTTGTTGCTTGATGGCGTTGATCTTTTTTTTGGACCTTAACCATCAACCAAACCATCAAAATTGGGGATATCATCTGGAAAAATGATTTGTGGATGTTAATGGTTGGTTGGGTTACAAGCTACCTGATTTATCGGTTGAACATCTAAATGGTGACGCCCAAGCCCAAGTCGTGCCTGATTTATCGGCCACTTTCTTTTGAGGTGCCCTGGATGGTCCCACGGGTGATGGTGCGAGAGATGGGAACTTTGGAGCTTTGATGATTGCGCCTGGGTTTTGGTGGTTCCATTCTTGGTCTGTCTGAGAATGGCTACAGTAGTATTAATATACTCCCAAATGGCATCAAATGGCTAGTGGCTAGTGGAAAATAGGGAATGTGATAGTCCAGCAATAGATTCAGGTAGCTCATTTTCAGTCAAACCCATTCTTGCTTTGTCCCAACTGATGCAGGGAAACAATCAATGGCCATGAAATACTGGGGAAAAGGATGTTCTAACCCATGGGATGACATTGGAGCTTGATTTTTTTTTTCGGGAGCACCCAATTCTTTTCTCTTTGTCCTTCCAGCAAAGTGGGATGAACATATCATAACATATCCCAAATGGTGACATTTCTGGATTTTATTCGGGGGCCTTTTTTTCTGCACCAACGAGGTGGTGATCTTTGCTCCCATTGGTCAGCTGGTGGTGTCCCTCTTCATCTCTGCCATCCTCCAGGAGCAAGATCTGAAGAATGCCTTGGATCGGCGGCACAATGAAAACAAGGCCTTCATCCAGCGTGCTGTGCAGATTCTGGGGATTCCCAAGGAGCTACAACGGCGGGTGTTTAGCATGCACTACTTTCAGAAGATGAGCCATGATATTGAAGCCTTTCAGATCCTCTTTGACGGCAAGAATCTGAGTTCCGCCCTCTCATCTGCCTTAAAAGTGTATTTGTATCAGGAATCAGTGCTTAGCTGCAAGTATCTGAGTGGAAAGGATCCCAATTACATCATCGAAGTTGTTAAGATCCTTGAAGATGTTGTGTGCCTTCCTGGAGAGTACATAGCTCGTCGAGGTGAGATTGCTCACCAGATGTTCTTCATTGCCCGGGGGACTTTGTCCATACTGGTTCCAGATGTACACCATGACAGGGATGTGCAAAAGGCGAAGGCTTTGCCGCATAAATTGAAATTATCTGACAACTTCGGTGAGGTTGCTCTGATTCAAGATTGCGTCAGAACAGCCTGGATCCGGGCAGATTCCTATGCATTGCTTGCATCTTTGTCGCGACATCATATCGAGGTGATTTGGAGGTATTTCCCAGACTACAAAGAGGAACTGGAGAAGCAAGTAGCGGAAACTGCCAAGAAAGACAAGCAGCGCAATGCTAAAGCCATGGCTCAGAATCGCTGGAAGAACATGGGCGGCGACAAGCGGAAGCAACTGCTACATCTGGGAAAGCAAGCGGAGCCGGCGGAGGCTGAGGCTGAGGGCAACCCCAAAGCCGATCGGTTATCAGTCATGGCAAAGGCAATGGCTGCCGATGACGATGAGGAGAACAATGACCTCTTGGCCTCGGGTGATTCAGCTGCCTTAGCAGTGGAAAGTGATGCCAACAGCAAGATGTTGTCGGAGGTTCTCCAGCGCCAGAGCTCCTTAGAAGGCCGGTTGGATGCGCAGAATGGGCAGTTGCAACAGATCCTGCAGTTCCTTACGACCTTCCAGAAGTCCCAGGCAGAAGTGCTGAGCCCCAAACGGAAGTTGAAGAAGTTGAAGAAACCCAAAGCTCCAGCGGAACTTCCGGGGGAAGCTTCGGTCCTGCCGGGTGTCATGGAGATGGAACCCGGTGAGTCGATGGGGTCCGAGGTGGTTCAAGCAACAGCGATGGATGCCACTGATGAGGCTGGTGAGGGCTTTAAAAGAAGGGGGTCTTTGAAAAATGCGGGATCCCAAAAACAATGGGATCCCAATTTCTTTTTAATGGGTTTCAGTACTAACATGGTTTAATTTTGGATGATCATGTAGAGTACCCGCTTTAGGAAACCTCCATTGCTACTAGCATAGCCGCAATCCATACCCTTGATCCAGTCCACTTTCGTATACCTTCTTAGGAGGTCTAGATCAAACATCTTATACTTAACTCAATCGTTCTATACGTATCACCTCGGAACCATCCGTATTGGCTTTTGGAGCCATACCCATAGTTTACATCCCCCCAAACTAGCAGTGAATTTTATAGAAGAATAGGGATAGCAATAAAACCCGTGGTCTGAGCAACATTGTTGTCGCAGGTTTGATCGCTGCTTGGAGTGAATATCTATGGCATGGCCAAGCCATGTGACTTTTTATTGCCATCGTTGCGGGGAAGGGGTGCTCGACACTGACGTCTGGGTCCATTAAATGTGAGATTAAAATGACTAAAGTGATGAACACATTGAGGCCAAAAACATTTTGCAGGTCATTGTCATCGCAGAGTGGGCACACATATTTTTAAACATGTGAACCATGGGCATGTATTGTAACTATTTGTCATTATCTATCCCCTTGAAATGGGATGCAGACACGTCCATATACAACTGAATGCAACTATATATTTGCAAACTCACAGATGTAAACATTTGCAACTGGCAACAGTAACTCTCTATACTCTATGAATAGATTAAATAGATTGGGATCTTAGCAGGCCCCCCCTTGTTCATCTCCAGCTTCACTTTTACTGGACCCAGTAGTTGGATGATGTCTGATCTCCGCGGTGCGGTACCGCCCACGCCTTTGGGATCCACTTTCTAAGCAGGATCGGACCCTGTTTCACCTTGCCGAAGAAAAAGTGGGGCAAGCTGGGCTGGTTGGAAGCTCCAGCATATGACGGGAATGGGGAAATTTTATAACTCACTGCTTTGGATGACATGGAAATGGAAAGTCATCTTTTTGGTAAATGATGGCCCTAACAAGATCAGTTTTTCAGCTGGTGGCTCAACCACCAGACATTTGTCATGTGGAGCATTCTCTTCTGTTGCAAGAAAGAAGTATGGCTTTATGAATAGATTTGAATGGACAGTTTGACCTCAGTATGTTTGAGAGTCACTTGATGACTGAAGCAAATCTTGTACCAACCTGTCCAATGCAATCTATTTTTAGCCAGGCAAAGTACAACCCGAGATGGTCATGAATCTTCATCCAGGACATGAGTAAACCCTTCTTGGAATCAATCTGAGACTACCATGTCCAAAAGTAATTTTGGATAAATTTAGCTCTGTTTATAGATTATAATATATATATAATGATATATATATATATATAATGATATATTATATATGATATATATTAGATTTATTGGCATATTCATAATTATATATCATACTCAATCATCATTTCATTTCATATTTCATGTAGATAATATAGTCGATGTAGTTGGAGAATGTTGGAGATCCCAATTGGTCAACCCTGGCTGCCAAAGGCCCAGTGATCATCTTCATGGAGCCTCACTGCGTGGTCTCGCGGCAGGCGCATGCGGGAAAACACGGGGCCCCGGTGGGGTGGAGGATGGTGGAGGGTGATTCTGTGTTTATTGTTGTTCAACAAGTTATTTATTTAAATTTAGATGAATATTTAATGATATTTATTTGTTTATCTATATATATATATATATGCGTGTTACTTTGTTTAGTTTATTCATGTATATTTGTATGGTTATATATATATATATATAATCATTTAATTATTTGAGTCTCAGGATGTTTTGGAGAAACGAAGTGGACCTGACACTGTCACTCCATCGGATCTATTTGTCGATTCCTGGCCTTGCAGGGCCCTCGGTTGCTGCTACATATGGCTCCAGACCCTGGCCTCATCTTCACCCAAGGTGTTAAGATATTGTCCATATATATATATATAATATTATATAATATATATATATGTAATATATAATATATAATATATAATATATATATAATATATATATAATATATATATATAAATAGTTCTAAGTTCTACGGGTTTCATTAAGGATATCCCCTTGGTCACGACATAGGCCAGGCCTAGCAGCTCAGCAAAGGAGCCTCTTTCCAGCCTTGGGGGATGGCTTAAAATGATCTCTTTGCGCCTGCCTGGCATCCCCCAAATTTGCGGATTCCTCCAAATCGGAGACCCCCAAAAAACCACACGGAAATTGGTCATCAAATTGTATAAACAATGACAATCTCATTTGTAGACATAACTATAATATTATAGTATACTATAGTCATACAAATATATGTTAACTATAATACTATAGGATATGGATTCTATATTATACGATAATGGTATATAAATATATATTAACTACAGTCATTTTAGTATAATATAGGATTTGAAAATATCTACATATATCTAGGATTTACTATAATGGATATGGATCCTATATTATACTAGTATAATACTATACTATATCTAGGATTTGGAATCCCATCCTTTGAAAAGATCCCTGCTGGCCCAGTGGTTGGAGCCGCTGCTGGAGCAGTTGGCCCTGTCGAAAGATCATCGGACCTTGGTGATGCCAACCCTGGACATCATCCCTGAGGCCTTTGGCTGCGGATAATGGCATGAATATATTCTCATTGTTGGTATCTTTCAGTACTATATTACTATTTTTATTACTATTATATTATATTATATTATTATTATATATTATGTGTTTTAAAACGCAAATGATAAGTTTGCCTCTTCTTTGAGAAAAGATGGTATGACATTGAAATTGGATCACACGGGTATGGGGGCAAATCAGGAACCCAAATGGGTATCGATGGAAATACTGAAATTTCTGTGACCCATTTCTGTGACCCAAGAGCAGCGAGTTTCACCAAAGTCAGGAGAGGTACATTGGTAGGAAAGAAATGCTGCTAGCTGCTCGCATCAGTGAACAATCAACCGAAACAATCATTTGTGAAGGAACATGTTGGAACCACACTCTCCAAGTCTTTGTGTGCAGCTAGCGTGATCCCACTCGTGTTTTTTGTGTTTTGGGTCGATGTGTTCTGCTCAGAATAACTTCAACCAGTACTTGCCAGCCAATCACCACATCGGTGGCTTTGATACCTGGATGCATCGATGGGGAGTCCGAAATTGGGGACAGCCTATACATTAGTCAAACAGTTTTTTCTATATAGTTTCCTTACCAAAATGGAAATGGGATGAATTGGTGTGCTTGCGAGCAAGGATCTCCAAATCCGAGTGATTCTGCTGGAATAACATCATTTGGGTCGTGATTTTTGGATCCCTGAGCAGCAAAATCCAGCGAAAAGGCATCCCAAGCCCAAAACCCATTCCCACCATGAAACGCCTGTCCAAAAGCAGCAGCAACCCTCTCCCCCAAAAAAAGAGCACTGCCCCTCAAAAACCGCAGAAAACAGCAAAAACTATCCATCAACTATCCACAACTCTCCATAAGTATCATCTATCCCAGAAAAAAGGTATCAACGCCCCAGCAGAAAATCACTTGCAACGCCCTAGGACTGGACCTTGACCTTCGGCTGGAAGGACCTCATCGAGAAGCGAAACAGCTCGTGCGCCTGATGGATCGGAATCCAGTGATAGTGGATAATTATACCTCTATAGTGACTAATGATTATCACACCAATAATAGACTTATTGGATTAATGATTATCATACCAATAATATCCAATAATTATATACCTCTATAGTGACTAATGATTATTAGACCAGAGACTTATATAGATTAGACACTTGTTGGATGATGGAATTCTGACTGTTCCATTTCAGTCCTTACACGCATTTTCTTAAGCTACGAGTCATGGAGTCTGAATACCATCCCAGTAGGTTCCTAGTTTTTATTCGGAGGAGGTGCTTTCTTACCGTGACGGCTGCAGGTACACCTATCCAGATCCCTATCCGACACCAGCTCTTTCCGGTGGCATCTTTGGGATTTGGACCGACTGGGAAATTGTTGAGAGCAGGGATGGCGAAGCTAAGATAAACTAAGACAACCATCCAGAATGAATATAAAGAGATGAGCATTAGAAGGTGATTCAGAAATTCATGAAACAGAACCAGTGCTGTAGATGCACATGCACGTGCCAATTCCCCAAAAGTGCAATCTTGGAAGGCCAGGGTTTAATCTGGCTGTGGGACGGATTCTGCAGGAAAGACAACTGGGAGCAGATGGGGACCTATGACATCAACATGACCGAATGGGGTGGTGAGCATATTGAGGTGGAGAAAAACCTGGACGGGGAGTTACATGGGAATTTGTTGGTCCGTTGGGAAAGCGAAAGGTATCGGTGTAGGTCAAACCAAGGTGAACATGATGTTTACCCCAAAATGCCCAAACATTGTGAAAGATATCCTCAAAGATCATCCAACATCATCTCAGAACCAGCCTGGGCCCAAATCTCAGCTTCAACAATCCTTCAAATCTGGGTCATCAGGGTAATCCCTTTAACCAATCCCTACTTGGTGGCTCATCCCACTTAGTAAGTGGGTTATAAGCCCAGTTATAAGTGGATTAACCCTACTTATCCCATGTAAATCACTGGGGTGATGTTACCCACTTACGAGCCGTGGGATGAGCCACCAATCCCGAGTCACATCATCCAAGAAATCCCTAGACGAAGTTGACCCTGGGACCTGGCAGATGTCACTTCGGACCTGGCGCTGCCATGGGCGCATCTTGGTGGTGCCCTGTTCACGTTGGGGCAGACTTGGTGGATGACCCAGAGAAAACCTGGTGAAAGGTGAAACTTTTCCCTTGAAACAACAGAAGAGAGAGCTATATATATATATGTGTATATATATATATTTATATACATATAAATGAATTTGTGATAAATCACGGTAAATCCATAGAAAAATCCGATGATAAGGATGTTGTTTTAACATGTTTTAAATAGATCCGGAAGGTTTGTGAGACCTCCATAGTATAAAAGTGCAGAAGGTATTATTCATGAATGGGTTTACGGCCTACCAAGTAATTGCCACATATAACCACATATGATGTTATATAGTGGTAGGCAAGGAAGATAATATATTTTGAGATGATGACTTTTCTGTCTACTTGGGCACCATTGGACAACCCTAAGCCCCCATGAGATGTGTATGGCTTTGGGTCAGAAGATGTCGGAAGTGGAGTACCCCAAGACCTGGGACAGTTTTAACGGACCATCCAATCTACAACCATCGAGGGACGGAGGACTGGTCTCCCTTCCTCCTTTTCTGGTGACATCGGCACAGCAAGGTCGGTCTCAGGCTACCAAGACCAGAAATTGTCTTTCATCCTACATTCCCTGAGGTGCATGCTGTGTGACCCTACATTGCAACATAGTGATACCAGGAGCTTTGTCCCAAAGATCTTTCGGTGTTTTTTCGAGATGTTCACCCTTCGGGAAAGTCAACCCAGTGTCAGATTGGCCTGTTTCCAAACCACCATCGCCCGATTCGTGTTAAGGCATGGGACATGTCTTCCGGGCACCTTGGCTGCATTTCGGGATTGCGAGGACAAGATGGTGAAACAAAATCGAAAAAATATGTGAGCCTATTCGAGATGAGTTGCGCAGTGGAATAAGGGCAACAAAGACATAGCAGTTGTTCGGTCTGTGTCTGTAACACAATTGCAGATTCCCAACTGCAGCAACAACTTGGCCCCTGAGGCAAAGAACCCCTACATTGTCCATGTGCCAGAGGTGGGTGGCAAAAGCTAGGGTATTCCATGCAGTTCGGAAAGCCCAACTGCCAACTGTTGAAACAGGGTCGTCCCATCTCTAAACCCGCCAGCCATTGTTCCATTTCATCCTGGATCCTATAGTTTTTCCTTTGGATGTCTGGCTTGCTGAGGTTGAAAACAGGTGGATTTGTTGTGTTTCTTTCTATTTTTCTCTTCCTTTCCAGTGGGAATGGATCAAAAATACACTCAGGGTGGCAGAGCCGTCTTCAGGTGATGAAAAACACCAAGAGAGCAGCGCTGGTGTGGCTGGATGAGCATTTAGAGGACTATTACAAGAAGGCCTGGATGCTCTGGTGACTGGATGCTGGGAGTTTTCGCGACATCATTATCCATAATCTTGGCATTAAACACTTGGCAGATCTAGATATTTTGCGGATTATGATGATAAAACATCTGTACGGCTTAGATCAGAGTTGATATTGGCCTTCCACTAAAACTCGAGTAGTGAAGTGTTCAGGTAGTTCCAGGGGCCGAAACGGTTGGAAGCCAAGAATTTACGCACCAGTGCAGCTGGAATCCTGGCTTCGAACAGAACCCCCATACTGTAAAAAGAGTGGCCTGGAAGGTGATTTTCTATGATTTTCTTATCATTGCATATCTGGTTGGTGGTTTGGAACATTTTTTTTTCCCATAATATATGGGATAATCCTTCCCATTGACTTTCATATTTTTCAGAGGGGTTAAAACCACCAACCAGATATGTTCATAAATGGGTTTGGCTGAAAATTGGATCCCCAAACATCCAGTCGTTTATCATTATTTGCCCCACTAGAATGACTATAAACTGGGGGTATTAACCGGTGATATTCCATTGACAAGCAGATGTCATATTGGAGGTCAAACATCCCATGAGATATTCCCAAGAAATGATGTTTATCCAATATATATATATATACATATTTACGTCTATAATCTCCCACAATAATTCCTGTTTAATGTTTATTTCCAACATAATCCCATTGTATTTGCAGTATTATTAACATATTCATACATATATATATATATACATATAACTATATACACACCCCAATGAGACCATATTTTCCCTTTCATTTCCCATTCTTGTACCGTTATATCACTATCTTAGATATTGAGCAATATAATATAATATGATATCATATCATGATATCATATCATATAATATACTGTAACATAACATAACATAATATATATATATACAACATATAATATAATAAAATAAAATATAATATAATATGATATAATATAATATATCATAATTAATACTAGTAATAGTAATAGTAATAATAATAGTAATAATAATAATAGTAATAATATTAATAATATATACACCTCCAAATTTTGTTGCTGCATACATCGCCATTCTGATCCCATCCAAAAGTCGCCAAGTCACCGGGATGCCGCAGGTTCCCTATGCTCGCCAGATCCAGGTGAGGCCCGTGCTGGAGATGTGGACAAGCCACCATGAAAGTCATTGGCCTACAAAAACAATGTTTTTTTCCCCATACCTCTGTTTACCCTGGTGTAAATGGAGATTTAGTATAGATTTAGGGCCTATGGATATTTGTTTTTGATGTAATACAGATGTTGTCATATGTATGGATATGATATTGGTATTGAGGTGAGGATCAGAGTATTGTTCAGTGTTTTTTTTCATCTATATAGAAATTCACTTACTAGACATGGAGATTTAATGGGTGTTCATGGATCTAGATGGAGATGTAATGGATGTTTATGGATAGACATGGATATTTGCAAGAATTGATGTAAAGGGACTTGTTTTGGAGAATAAAGGGGTATTTAAGACGGTATTACATGTATTTACTGTCATGGATAAACCCCCATGTTCAATAGGAATATAAACGTGTGAGTTTCGTGCCACGAAACATGGAACATGTGGAACATGGCAGAATTCATTTCACCTTATCCTTTGGTTCAATCCCAAAATAGGGCGGGAACCGATGGTTACCTCAATGGCTGCGCCGTGAGTGCACAAACAGACTGCGCTTCTCTTCGCAGACATCTTTGAACCTTTTGTCGTGACCCTAGTCCACTTCGTGAGGGATCTGGGAGAGGAATACCCTAAGGGCTGCTATCCTCAAATTGGTAGCGGGGCCCCAGCCGGGGCATACGCTCAAAGATGTCACAAAAACAGACTCAGAAGGCTAGCGGGAGTGATGGGAATAGCACCGAGATACTCAAAGACAACTACATCCCCATCTTCTCAAATCGACCTGCTGACTACCGTGAGTACAGGGCTAGAGTGACTTTGTACAAGATGAAGATGGATTTGCAGAAACGACCAAAGGAAGCTGTGATCAACCTTCTCACGTCCTTGACAGGAGCTAGTTGGAAGTTGGTCGAGCACGACGCCACCAAGCTGATCGAAGCGTCCGATGGCTTTGACCAAGTGATCAAGCTACTGGATCAGAATTTTCAATATGATGACCGGGTAGAGTGTCCAAAAGCCATGGATCGTTTTTTCTACCAGTTGACTAGGCGTAGTGAACAAACCATGTTGTCTTTCATGACTGACTTTCGCGAAGCGAAACGTGAGATAGAGAAACACAACATCAAGCTACCCGATGAAGTCTCTGCATACATTCTTCTCAAACGCTGTGGACTCACTGTTGAACAGCGTCAGATGACTTTGACGCAGATCGGCAATGAGAAGATGACTGAGGCCAAGGTTGAACAGGCCATCTATTACTTGTTTGGCCAGGACTACCGTGGCCGCACCAGTTATGACTCCAGAAACAGAGGAAAAGGCAGGTACTCCCAGTGGCAACGTCCGCAACAGGCCTATGTCACTGACGAGACCTACGGCTATGATGTCGACTATGGCGATGATGAGGCCTATCTTGGCGACGATGCCGAGGACTTTGAGGTTGATTTCATCCCCGAAGATGTTGAACAACAAGAGTATGGTGATTACGAGTATGAAGACATCATGTACTATGGGGACTATGGGGATGAAACATGGGAGTCCGAGTTTCCTGAAGGTGGTGACCCCGAAACTGAAGAAGCCTTTGCCACGTATCTAGATGCTAGACGTCGTTTTGCTGAACTCAAGGCCAACAGGGGGTTTTGGCCCGTTGTTGCGCTCAGCCCAGAAGGACAAGCATCAACAGCAGCAGCAACACAACGCCCATACGCACCCAAACCAACAAAGGGCAAGGGTAAGGGCAAAAGCAAAGCAAAGGGCATCAGACCACCACCACCACAAAAGGGCGATGCTAAATCTAGGGGCAAAGCAGCACTCAATGCAGACGTCATTTGTCTGCGCTGCTCACAACCAGGCCACTATGCAGCAGACTGTCCACAGAGACACACACGACCCTCGGGCAACAACAGCAGCTCACCGGCCAAGAAGACCAAGACAACGACACATGCCGCCAACATGGTACGAGACATGACACAAGACGACAGCAACACGACCCCAGCAGATGGCTACTATGCCACTCAAGACGGAGGCGCAAGCTCCATGGTGTCAGGACACACAACATTCATGTCCTACCTGCAACACAGCCTCCAACGAGGCATACCACTCAGCCATTTCCGGTTCCGTGAAGCTGACAAGATCTTCCATTTTGGCGGCGACCGTGAGCTCCGATCCAACTGGAGCGTGCATATGCCAGTGCACATCAACGCTTCCTGGTGCCAGGATCCACACCAATGTTGATGGGCAGACCCATCCTCAAGGCCCTCAATGTGAAGGTCGAATACACGACTGACCAATTCTCCACTGACGGAACCAACTGGCAGAACATCCCACTTGGGAGCAAGCAGGAACACCTACTCCAACTCGATGACATGCAGTGCAATCCACCCACCACTGACCACTACAACTTTGACCTTGTCACAACTGACACCTACGAAGTTCTACAGAACAACCTCACTGATGACGATACAACTGACCTCTACCTACAACAGACCGGGCATCCAGAGCCCGAGTTCGTGCATCAAGCAGTTGACGAACAACTTGAACCACTGACACAACAACCTGATAACTACCACCGTCCATCACCACACACAACCAACACCAACGACGTGAATCGACCACTCACTGACAAACTACTCAAGAGCATACAATACCACATCTCCACCACCGAGAAACGACGACAGTCGGCTATGGAACAAATCCTACGAGCACATGACCACAACCAACTCCAGTTCTGGGAGGTCTACTCAGGCACCGCCAACTTGGCAGCCGCGATGAGAAAGAAAGGCTATGTGATCTTCACCTTTGACCTGACCAATGGATGGGACTTCACAAAAGGACAGCACAGAAGAGACTTCTACCGTCTCTACTACAGTGCCGCCCCGGACTTTGTCTGGCTGGCACCACCATGCAAGAAGTGGAGCCCACTACAACACCTCTCCATCCGCACGACAGCACAGGCAGAAGCACTACAAGCCGCAAGAGACCACGAGGAACATACACACCTGAAAATCACAAGCAACATACACCGACGACAGATGCAGCACCACAGGCATAGCATCATTGAACAACCCAAGCCCTCAGCAGCTTGGAACACACCAACATTCCAAGACACACCAGGTCACGATTGCCAAGTTGACCAATGCCAATATGGAGCCACACTACCCGACGACCAAGGAGACGAACAGCTCATCAGGAAGTCAACCACTCTGCGGACCAGCGATCCTAGGCTGGCCGAAGCCCTGGAGCGGATCTGTCATGATGCACACCAGCACCTTCCCATTGAAGGCTCATCACCAAAAATCGGTCTCAGATCGACAGCAGCGGGAGCATACCACCCAGCAATGTGTGCAGCATGGGCTAACATCATCCACGACTTCATGCAGAATCACTACAACCACCAGGAACAGGGATTCCAACTGGATGATGGAGATGATGATGACCCCACTGACAACACTGACAACCATGAGGCAGAACAACCACAACATGACCAACAACTACAAGCCGTGCAACAGCACGACCAACACATACAACCAGCACAGCAACCAATGCCAAACACGGGCATTCTCACTCGACTGCAGGAACAGGGCAAGCAAGCAGCAGAAAGAACAGTACAACGACTCCACCGCAACCTTGGGCATCCCACCAACAAGGAGCTTGTCAAGTTGCTCACACAACGCAGAGCAAGCAACAGCATACTGCAAGCAGCGCATGACCACAAGTGTGACCTATGCGCAATGCAGCAACCACCACCACAGGTCACCAAGAGCTCCATGAGACACAGTGGAACGGTGTTCAATGAACGCATCCTGGCCGACACGCTGTGGATCCACCAGCCGAGGGATAGTGCCACAACAGCCAGAGGAATTCCCATCCTTGCAATCATCGACTCCACCACCAAGCTCATGGCAGCCAGAGTCATTCCAATGGAGAAGTCCAAGGACTTTCTGAAAGCGCTGGAGCGAGGATGGATCCGACACTTTGGGACTCCAGGAGCAGTGAGCTCATCCGAAGCTGGAGCTCTGATCACGGTGTCCACCTTGAGATCTCTCCAGGCCAAGCACACACCCGACTTGGTCTCTTGGAAAGACGACACCAAGTTCTACGACGAGCCATCGAGCTCTTCCTGGCACAAGGCAAACTCTCTGTCACCACAGACAACGTCATCCAGGCGGTGACGTATGTGATTCCACAGATCAACAATGCCCCGAACCTGCAAGGGTTCTCAGCCACCCAATGGGCATTTGGCTATGTCCCACGACTGCCAGGCCACCTCATGGATGAAGATCTCATGCCTTCCCATCTCACACCCGGCGATGAGATGGTGCATAAACTCCAGCTCAAGCAACAGGCTGCCACAGCCGTCAGCCAAGCCGACATCGATGCCAGACTCCGACGGGCCCTGCCGCGACAGCATCAGGCACAACAGCACACCTACCACACTGGCCAACAAGTCTTCTACTGGCGTGATGCACCTGGTGGTGCCGGACCAAAAATCCGATGGAAGGGCCCAGCAACCGTTGCCATGGTTGAACCGGGACGAGCCGGCCTTGCCAGCAACATCTACTGGCTCGTTCATGGTACCACCTTGATCCGAGCCTCAGCCGAGCACCTACGACCTCATCTCAACACACCACTTGACACCACCACTGACTCCTCTACTACCACTACCACACGAGCACAACAAGCCCTTGACAACATTCGCAACCGCAGCACCACACTCTACCTTGACCTCCACAAAAGCAACAAACGCAAACGCACTGAAGTCACCACAGAGGATGAATCGGAGGACGACCCACCACCAACTGTTGCCGTTCCCATGGATTCACCACCGACACACGACTACTGGGACGTCTCTGATGATGGATTGATGTGGACTCGCGTCCACGTCGTGCCTCGTTCTTCTCTTTTCTGCCCGACTTCTGATGCCACCGCACCAGTGATGACCTTTTTGCCACAACGTCTCACAACACTTCAACGACCACCGCCACACCCACATCGCTTTACACTCAGCGATGAGTGGACCGACTCCACTCATGCCAGCAGAGAGCTACCATACACCTGGACCGGCAACACAACCTTCACTGTCCGTACGGACCTCCAACACCGACAGCCACTCAACACAACTTCATTCCCTACAAGCACCAACCCAGAAACACCACCAACACCACTGGCAATGGACACACAGGACACGCAGGCAGCAGAAAATGGAGTGGGAGGCGAAGATGATACCGAGTTCTGAGACAGCTTGTTGGCACCAGCGACTGAGTCTGACACCAACATGCATCCAACACCTGAGCCCAATCAACAACCGGAGGTTCCACCTCGGTCAATCACCTCCACATCCGGCACAGAGCCGATGCAAGAGCCAGATCCACCAGCAGCGCCACTTCCAACCCCGGCGCTAGCAATACCAGAGCACCAACAGCAACTCTACCAACCACCACAGCCGGGTGAGACATTCAACCAGCTACGAGCCAGAGTTGACAGACAAGAGACCCTATCACTATACCAACCACACCACGGAGCCGTCACCTATGGACCCAACCGTGAAACATTTGCAAGAGAGAACGCACACCAACACAGGCGCAACACACCATATCAACGAGCAACGGCACCCACTGAGGCAGATGTCGATGAGCAGACCCACACCACTCACGAGGTCAATGTGTTGCCACAATCCAATATCCTTCCACCGGGATGGAAAGTAGAAGATGGCTGGATCCAACTTGGAGAAACACAGGATGAGTGGCAGATCAAGAATGGCTGGCTGATTCGCAGACACTACCTGCCCCGAACCAGCAAGTTCCACCCAGCACAGATCGATGCCCATTGCCCCATTCCACTTGAGTACCTGGGCAAGGACAGGGTCACCAAACGACCCGGACACACTACCCACGACCGATGGAGGGGAAAACAGGATAACGACAACATGGAGCCCTGGACAGGAACAACAGCTTTCAAGATCAACCAGACCCACCGACAAGTTGCCAGAGAACATTTTTACACAGCAAGCGAGGGACACAGCACCTACACCTACAACTCTACCAACAACAGCCACAATGCCCACCATGACAACACTACTAACAACAGCCACAAGCCTATGCCAAAAACCAAGGCTAGGAAGGAACAGATCAGCGAGAAACACCTCAGCCTCGAGGACCGTCTCGCCTTCATAAAAGCCAAACAGGCAGAGCTGGCTTCGTTCTTCCAAAATGATGTGTGGGAGGTGGACGACGCCACTAGCAGTCCACCTGGAAGGACCCTACGGGCCCACTTCATCCTCAAGTGGGGTAAGCACAACGATGGCACACCAAGAGCCAAAGCCAGGCTCATCACACAAGGGTTCCGAGACCCTGATGCTCTGTCGGGAGCTCTGCAGACTGAGTCACCCACCCTCAGTCGCCTTGCCAGAAACTGCATTCTGGTCGTGGCAACCATGTTTGGCTGGCCGACGTTTTCAGCTGACATTTCCACAGCCTTCCTGCAAGGAAAAAAGCATGAAGCTAGCCGCACTCTCTGGATATCCCTCAGTGCTGAACCCAACCGCATGTTGGGACTTCCCACCGATGGCAGCAAAGTGCTGCGCCTCAAGAAGCCCATGTATGGTCTATGTGACGCCCCGAGGGCATGGTTCACCGAAGCAAGGGATAGACTCCTACGCTTGGGAGCACAACAACACCCACTTGATGCTTGCCTATACCTTGTCTACGACCACAACGCCCCATATGACCAATGGTCCCAACACCAGGACAGCCACGGAAACAACTACACAACACCACCACTATGTGCCATTTTTGGCCTACATGTCGACGACATCATCGGATGCGGCGACAACAACAATGCCACGTTCCAACACTTCAGACAACAACTACAAAGCAGCTTCACGTTTAGAACATGGGAAGAGGACTCACCTTCCTTTGACTACTGTGGGGCCGAGATAACCAGACACTCACCCTACCACTACCACTTAGGGCACGAAAAGTACCTGGCCAAACAAAAGCCCATCAGCTTTGAGGCCAAAGAAACAGAAGACAGACCAGTCACGGAAAAGGAAAGAACAGCTCTCCGAGCCACCATCGGAGCACTACAATGGCCAGCAGGCCAATCATCACCACACCTACAGGCCAGCATCTCACAACTGGCGGGACTGGTCCCAAATGCCACAACAGCCACCTTGAGGGAGGCCAACAAGGCCCTCAGGTTTGCAAAACAACATGCCGATGTCGGCCTAGAATTTCAGCATCTAGGTGACAAGCAAGATTTAACATTCCTGGCATACTGTGATGCCGCCTTCGCCAGCCGACATGACAACACAAGCCAAGGAGGCTACCTAGTGGCCATCACACACAAGGATGTCACCACAGGCAAACCAGGACCGTATGTCCTTGTTGACTGGCGGAGTTGGAAACTCCCCAGAGTAGCCAGAAGCTCACTCAGTGCCGAAGCACAAGCAGCGTCAGAAACAGCAGACATTTTGATGTATGACATCATCTTTTGGCAGTTGATTTGGCACCCCGACCTACCAATCAACGACACAGCAGCATGCCAATTGACACATCCACCGTGTCTCGTAACTGACGCAAAAGGGCTATACGACCTGCTCACAAAACCAGAACTACAGCCCAGCAGTGGTGCCGACAAACGCACCTCCATAGAAGTGCTAGTCGCCCAAGACAAACTCAAATGTGCAGAGGCCCAGACAAAATGGGTTAGCTCTGAGCTACAGTACGCTGACGGCATGACAAAAACAGCAGCGGCACTACTTTTGGCACAACGCCTACGCACCCATCAAACCAGCATCAAGCCCGATGAACAATTCACAGCAGCAAAGAAGAAAGACGCACACGCGCGCAAGCGTAGTGCCGAGCAATTTGCCCTGAAAAAGCCCAACAGAGCCATGCAGGCCCTGGTAGCAACAGCATACCTTGTCATGCAAGCAGATGCAACAGACACCCAAACTGAACATTTCACATATGTCGACTATGGGTTTCTCATGCTTGTGACCATTATTGTCATCTTAGTTAGCAACCTCCTGAACTCCTTCTTCATGACTACATGGTCCCGTATGACTAGGTTCTTGAGTATGACATCTACCAGTAGAGGAAGCCGTAGTGGTATTCATGACAGCCACCAACCAGTGACTGCCACCGACTCAGGTACCTCACCTGAGCCCTTCGAGTGTACAGACTGCGCCGATCTTCGTTTCCAACTGGCAACCATGGCTGAGGAAAATGCTCACCTCAACCAACGTTTGCAGCAGCATGGCAGCGCAGAATACATGAACAGAGTGTACCACGAGCCTTTGAACAAGTTCAAGAGACTCTACTCTGAAGAAAGGGAGAAGGTCAAGCGCATGACTGAACAAATGAAGGACATGCAAGAGAAATTCAAGACTTCGGTCGAAGACCAGAAGCAAAAATTCACCAAATGCGTGAATGCACATGTTACAGCGGGGATGCAGCAAGCCACCAACAAAACTCTTCACTTCGCACGAGCCGGAGAAGTTTGGCACAGTGATCCCAGATGCGAAGCACTGACCAGACCAAACGTTGTGAGTTTCTCGAGACGACCCTGCAAGGTTTGTGCCCACATGATGGTACCGGATGGACCGAAAGGCAATGAAGTCAGAGATCTCCTTGCCGCCAGTTTTCGCACACGAACTCCATCCAGAGCCAGCACCGATTAGTTTTCTCTTCTTACCGGTGTGAGTTTCGTGCCACGAAACATGGAACATGTGGAACATGGCAGAATTCATTTCACCTTATCCTTTGGTTCAATCCCAAAATAGGGCGGGAACCGATGGTTACCTCAATGGCTGCGCTGTGAGTGCACAAACAGACTGCGCTTCTCTTCGCAGACATCTTTGAACCTTTTGTCGTGACCCTAGTCCACTTCGTGAGGGATCTGGGAGAGGAATACCCTAAGGGCTGCTATCCTCAAAAAACGGGTATGGGCCTATGGGTCAAACTGACCAAGCAAACAACATGGACTGTACCTGGGTATGGATCACAGTCAAAGACCAAAGGGACAGCGCAGTTTGGTCCTTGGTGGTGATGGCCATTTTGCTTTGGACCGGGACCCATATTTATATATACCCTCTGCTTATTTAACATAGCCATGGAAAATGGCCCATTTATAGATGATTTTCCCATTAAAACCTCCATTTATAAGGGATTTTCCATGGCTATGTTAAAAAACCAGACGGTATATATATATACTGTACAGTAACCAGTGTGTGCTCAACATGATGCTGATGCGATGCTGATGCGTGGCAGGCTGGAGATGTGTCGGAGCGGATCAAGCTCAAGGTGCTGGAAGGGATGAACATCCATATCACCAGGGTAGAATTTTGACCGCCAAATGATGTGAACAACGACAAGTCCAATACAATCTAATGGGAGATGGACGGAAATGGTGTGGAAATGGTGTGGAAACCAACAATTCCAATACAATTACACTATGACACGATATGACACGGATTTTTGAAGGAACATCTGCGTGTTTTTTCCTCTACCGATCCCTTGTTGCCTCGATCAACAGGAGTCCTTGGAATGTGAATCTATGGTTCGGCCCCAAGCCGTCGAGCTGAATTTGCTGTGAACCGACGGAAACTTGGCCCTTCATGGGCCCAGGTGAGTTTGCATAGTTATATAATATTGTATCGTTCTAATAGTCGTTCATTGCAATCATTCTGGTTACGATATGATATTCTATGGTATTCTATGCTATTCAATGGTTTTCTTCCATGATATTCTCCTTCCCAATCTTGATATCATTTATGAAAATGCTACCAGCCTTCACCCATAAGGACTGGTACATGGACAACATCTATCCAGAGCTGCGAGTGCGGAGCTTGGAAAACCGCAAAGGCGAGGACAGTGGTCCAAATGGACAACTTGTATGGTTGCCATAAAACAGAATTTATGTACTGCCCAATGTTGCTATTTTTTGGCAGTATTTGGCCATACTTCGTCATCTTTGGTAATATTTGGTGATATTGGCAACTGTTGCTAATCTTTGGCACTATTTGGGAATATATGGCAATATTTGGCAACCTTTGCCAATCTTTGGTACTGGTGATATTTGGGAGTATTTGGATAGACCATTTGGTGATTTTCTAACCCAAACTCGTGAATGGATAGACTTCCCCGCCGAGGCTGCTCCGATATGGAAAGCAATCCCTTCCACGTTGATATTTCATATCAAAACCCTGGTCAGTCTTGGATCAATGGCCATTTCAGGAACCTAAATTGGAGGTACCTACCATATATAAGGCCTATATAAGGCCTATGTAAGGGAATATCACCACAAAATATGGCCTTATATGGTACAGTACCTCCATTTTAGGATCCTGAAATTCCCATTGACTGGATATCATTTTAGGACCCCATGTTGGTATCAAAAAAATGTAGGGGACTGTACCGCTGAGGCCGAGCTGACGCCGAAACCTCATCATCTGCGAACCGCGCACCATTGATGCGCTGAAAAAGTGCGAGCCAATCACCGGAGATCCACTGTTTGGGGAAGAATTAACAGGTGATTTATCCATCTCACCTGGATCCATTTATAGATAAGATGAGTCTCCAAAAGGGGAATTATCTACTATATATCATACATGTATATATATATATACTGGTATATACATACATATATATTATATATATATATATATATCATATATATATATGTATATATTTAGTATGTTTATAGATGAAACACATTGAAACACCATATTTTTTCTCCAGTTGTTTCTCCTGGGATGATGATCCCCAGTGCAGTGGCAACCAGCAGTGCTTCTTGCCATCGAAACTTGCAGTTGGTGTTTGTCCCATTTTGTTCCCAACAATAATATAATATATGTTACGGTTAATATAATATGTATGTAACCGACCAATAATAATGATACAGTAATGATAATAATATAGTTAATAATATAAATTATGTAAATAATATATAATTAATAATATAACAAAAATATATTGTACTGTATACTATATAACAAATATATACAAATATATACAAATATACAATATACAATATATAATATATAATATATAATATAAAATATATAATATATAATATAAAATTGACATATAATATAAAACAAATATAACATATGATATATATTATATATATAATATGTAATATATTATATTACGGCAAGACCCTGAGGTTTGCCCGGACTCGCGACGAGCGTCCGGGCATGATGATGATGATGATGATGATGATGACCAAAATGCTCCACATAAACAACATGTATTAAACCCTCATTGAAGATCTTCAATGAATTTAAGAGTTTAACGGGGGTTGGAGAATTAAACCCTTATTGAAGATCTTCAATGAATGTAGAAGTTCAACGGGAGTGGGAAAATTCATATGATATGTATAGTGTGAACAAAAAATCCCTGTAATTTACCCTATTCTGGGTTTGGGGGAACCTCGGGGTCTGTGTGTAATATTAGTGCCGGCAGCGGTATTTTTGCAGACCCGAAATGATATCGTTCGTATGTGGTGGAGCCAGCAGTAAACGCCAAGTTGGTTGCTTGCATCACGGCCACTTCGCTCAAGGAGATAGATTTCTGTTAGTTCAATGTAAAGGATCACTTGAGCAAAGCCAGAAGGTCAACAATTGCAAGAATGGCAATTCATTGCTTTGAACAGAATCATAGGCCTGGGTCTTCAATGATGTCACGAACAACTTGTAAGAAAAATCACCAGCAATTTCCAATGAAATTGAGTCAGTTCCCAGTCACCAAAAGAGTATCCACACAGATCAACTCCTGCAATAGGCAGGAGCGTGGCAATGCAATGGCACCAAAGTTGTGGCGATTTCTCTTATTAGTGCCGGCAGCGGTATTTTTGCAGACCCGAAATGATATCGTTCGTATGTGGTGGAGCCAGCAGTAAACGCCAAGTTGGTTGCTTGCATCACGGCCACTTCGCTCAAGGAGATAGATTTCTGTTAGTTCAATGTAAAGGATCACTTGAGCAAAGCCAGAAGGTCAACAATTGCAAGAATGGCAATTCATTGCTTTGAACAGAATCATAGGCCTGGGTCTTCAATGATGTCACGAACAACTTGTAAGAAAAATCACCAGCAATTTCCAATGAAATTGAGTCAGTTCCCAGTCACCAAAAGAGTATCCACACAGATCAACTCCTGCAATAGGCAGGAGCGTGGCAATGCAATGGCACCAAAGTTGTGGCGATTTCTCTTGCCATTGGTGTGTGTATCTCGCCCGCACAGAGGTCCCACATGGTCTTCAAAGAAGAGGGGCTTTATACATATGGGTTCATTCACAAGCATCAAAATCAGTCCCTCGTTCGACCCATATTTGCATATAATTATTTGCATATCCTGTATCCAGATAGGATAGCAAAATGCAAAAATCCATGCTTTCTAGTGGTCCATATTCCCTGATGAACCCTCCATTAATCTCTGGGTGTGGAGATTGCTCTTGCCACGAGCCAGCACTCACCAACAGATTTGTTCGTGTGGGAATAGCTCCAGCGAAAATGGATCCATACAATCCCATACATTCTTCATCATTCTTCTATGTTTGATATTGTAATTCCATATTATATTATATATTATATATTACATATTATATATTATATATTACATATTACATATTATATATTATATATTATATATTATGTATTACATATTATATGTTATATATTACATATTATATATTACATATTATATATTACATACATATATATTATATATTACATATTGTATATATTATATATTATAGATTATATATTATATATATTACATATTATATATAATATATTATATATATATATATTATATTACATATTATATATTATATATATCATATTATACATTATATATTACATATTACATATTACATTTGACATATTACATATTACATATTATATATTATATATTACATATTATATATTATATATTACATATTACATATTATATATTATATATTACATATTATATATTACATATTCTATATTATATATTATGTATTATATATTACATATTATATATTACATATTATATATTATATATATCATATTATACATTATATATTACATATTACATTTGACATATTACATATTACATATTATATATTATATATTACATATTATATATTATATATTACATATTACATATTATATATTATATATTACATATTATATATTACATATTCTATATTATATATTATGTATTTTATATTACATATTATATATTACATATTATATATTAGATATTGCATATTACACATTACATACATATATATTATTTATTATATTTTCCGTATTAAATACTACATATTTTATATTACATATTATATATATTATATATATATATATATATCATATTATACATTATATATTGCATATTACATATTACATATTACATATTACATATTATATATCATATATTACATATTATATATTACATATTATATATTACATATTATATATTACATATTATATATTATATATTACATATTATATTATATATATTATATATTATATATTACATATTACATATTACATATTATATATTATATATTACATATTATATATTTTATATTATATATTACATGTTACATATTACATATTATATATTATTATATTATATATTACATATTATATATTTTATATTATATATTACATGTTACATATTACATATTATATATTATATATTATGTATTGTATATTCCATACTATATATTACATATTATATATTATATATTACATATTACATATTATATATTATATATTATGTATTATACATTACATATTACATTTTATATATTACATATTATATCTTATATATTACATACAATCCCAGTAGTAATAAACATCCTCCAATTTTGTGGGGTACCTCATGCTAACCCCCAAGGGCCCCACCATGCCCCACAGATGTGGCACCGAGGTGGTTTTCTGTGTTGCTGAGGAGCCCAGGTACCACCGGGGAAATCCCATATAGTGATGACTGGCGGATTTATGGCATTTTATGGCAAGGATATTACCAAGGGTTTACCACATTAGAAAACTCATGAAAAACTCATGACAAACTCATGAAAAAATCATGAAACGACTTGGTGCCTTTCCCTTGGAAGCTGCATATGACTGGGCCAGGCTGCTCTTCGAAGCCTCTGCTACAGAGGCACCGCTCCGAGACTGGAAGGTGTTGAAAAAGAGACCCCGGAAGTTTCACATGGAACCCTCCAGGAAAAATTGAACCCAGGAAGGCGATTTTCGAAGATCTTGGAAATGGCTTTGTTTTTTTTTGTTCGGTTGTCTCTTCGAAAACGTGTGTTGTATCCTCGTCTTAGCGAGCTCAACATCTTTTTGCTTGGCAAATCTTTTCCCAGTTTGCGACAGAGCACCCCATGATTATCATGATTTGAGCACAGTCGAGGCGGTGAGCGAACTTCATGGTTGGGGCGTGCTGGTCAATTCCTTAGAAAAGGTGCCATGGAGACTTGGAGAAAATTCTCAGGTCTTTGGCAACGGGTTTTGAGCACAATGAGACGCAAGCAGCTAAAATAACGGAATTTACCATATATACACCACCATACATAGCAGAGGCTTGACAAGATCAGACTTGGATGACGGAATTTAGTATTGGAATCGGGGCGTTGAGCAGGGCCCAGAGGTAAGGAACAACTAGATGTTTGATCATTTTACTGCTTCTTCCATCCAGTTGTTTTCCACGTCCAGTCAAATCGACAAAGTGCTGTGGGTAGGGAAAGCCTTTGAAGCTTGTTGAACACCTGTTGTAATTGGTCAAGACCAACCATAGGTCAGTAATCCCATTTTGAGTCGCTACACATCTGCCCAGCACTGTGCTATCATTGTTGGTTGAAGAGTGCCTCAGCGCAGTTTTGTGAATTTTGCTGATATTCTCTTTGTCACAGCTCCCCATCACATGCTGTCAGAGACTGTCTGACTAGAATGCTTTTGCGACGGTTGCTCACTCAAATTTGATGGTTGAAACAAACCTACCTCTTGGCCTCTTTTTTACTTACTTAGGTCCATTCCCTGCTTATCTGCCTCTCAGTCATTGGTTTCGCTCTCCTTGTTATAACTACTCACCGATATGATCACATTCTATGTAATCCAATGATGTGCGTTCCAACAGCACGAGTGTCTTGAATTATTGTTAGTACAGTATTCCTATTGTTCACGAGTCTCTTGAACTCCGTTGTTTGGTGCTTATCACGAAAGGTAGCTCCAGAGGGGCTACCTTGAGTTTTACTTTACGAAGTAAAGGGGAGGGCGGCCAGCCCCGTTACCTGATTCTTCAGGAGATTGCTAGTCATTTTAGTAACCTCCCCCCCTGTTTTTGTTTCGACCTAATACCTACATAGGTACATGCATGAGTATTGAGCACATTTATATGCGCCCTTCAAGGCTCAAGAGGTATATAGAGTAACCCTGTAGACAAGCACAGACCGGCAACAGGCTGAGAGTAAAAGAGTGCTGTCATTGGG